TCCACCAGCACTTTCTGCAACACCTTCAAATGTTATTAATGCATTTAGTCAACCACAACCACCTTTATCGTTTGGTCGATCGCCTCAATTACCTAATGCTTTTCACAACCTGCATTTGGACAATCAGGATTTCAATCGCCTGCTTTCGGACAACCATCATTTGGTGTACCGGGGTTTGGAACACCATCTCATTTTCCGAAACCGGCTGCACTTAATGCTCCAAGTGGTGGTGATTTCGCTCGTTACTCAAGGTATTTTGAAAAAATATATATTTCTTTTACCTTTAATTCGCATAGTTGCTTGAATTAATGTATCTATTTTATTAATAATAATACTATACTACTGGTTTCGGAGTGAGTGTTGGCGGCTTTGGAAGTACATCGGTTACTCCAGCACCTCCTACGTATGATATACATACTGTTTTTCTCTTTTTTTTTTTTTATTTTTGATTTTTTGATTTTTTTTTAATTAAGCATTTTTTTTTTTTTTTTTTTTATAATATAAGTAAACCGCCTAGCACCACATCAAGTTCAATATGGAGTTCATTTCGTGGTTAAACTATGGTATTAGTCCAGGAAATCAACGCATCACAAAGAATATATATAATCTTGAAGTTTATTAATATAGATTTAATATATATACATATTACACGAATAAATAACATAAAATTATATTTAAATATCAAAAAAATAAATATTTGCCCCAATAATCAACTTGACTCTTAAACTCTCAAAAACTATATATATAACGTTATTTCGTTTAAAATGTACATGTATAAACGTGATTTTTTTTTTTTCATTTTAGATTAAAATATATTTATTTCAATTTTTCATAACAGTTTCTTTTAGGCGGTTTTATTAACTCGCATCAAAATGATTTAACAACCTAAAATTTTAATAATTGATTCAATAAGTAGCTCTGTATTAACCAACATATGGCCAATAAGATTGTTGAAGCCCAGAAATTTTGATATAATGAATGGTTCAGATTCTTTTGATTTTATAAAATCGGATCAAGTTAATTTTAAAGCTAAAGCAAATGCTGTTTTAAATTCAAAGATTGAAGTATCGCTTGTAAATTCATCAAATGTTTTAAATTGTAAGTCAATATTTAATTTTAATAATTTGTAAATTTTTGAATTGAATCTTGAAACAACGAATTGATCAAATTTCCGACACGTTTCTTGAATTATTAATTTCAAAAATTCATACACATACTTGTAACAATTTCCATGTTACAGTATATGGGAAAGTTTCTAAACATATTGATCGCGTTTCAGTACAAACCTTGTCAAAAAACCCCGAATTAATTCCGTTTAGATGTATTTTTAAATCATAAACAACAATTTATATCCTTTGCTACTTCAAAAATTTCTTTTGAATATAAGAAATGGATTTCGTTATCCCGATAAAAATTTTTAATATATTTTCGGACTTTAACATGTCAAATTGAAGGTAATATTCGTTAGAATCTATTGATTAAGTTAAATTCTACTTTGAAAATGATGTCGATTCATCTAAAAACTTACAAGTTCCAGGTGGAATTTTTGAAGAAAACTATTTCTTTATAAAGTAACGTAATCTAAATTCAATTTCA